CTGCCGTTCTCCTCTTACCGGCCCAGCACCGCCCTCCCCGCCCGCTCGCGTCTTTCTATTGGGCTAAACACAGAGGTGGTCCCGCCTCCCTTCGCTGTGACTGGGCCTGACCGGTGCCAGTTTTTCCTGGCCTTGAAAGCGCGTGCAGAGAGCACCACTTTGTGTCACCCGCGGCCCTGATTGGCTCCGCAGGTCGAGGGCCACGCCCTCAGCCTGACGCGATTGGGTAAGCGCGGGAGGGGGCGGGGACTCGGTGGGCCCCAAAGCCTGCCCGGGGGCGGGCCGGGGTGAGACCGTTAGACGGCGCGTGCCCCGCGCGGGGCCGAGCGGCCGTTAAACGGCGCGCTGCGTCCCTGCTTGTCAGAGCAGCTCTTAACCTCAGCTTAACGTTAGCAAAGCACATAACGCAACAGAGCACAGAACAGTGTAAGGAGAAAGACCAAGTGGTTACTACGATCCCAGCAGTCAGGGCTCGTTCACATGGAGATCGCAAAAAGCCACTGAAAGTCGAGCCCCTGCAAGCAGCTTCACGCACTGTTTCTGAAAGGCTTTTTCACTTTATAAGTACAATGAAACACCTCGTTGTTATTCGTGGGTGGTATCGCTGATGTGTTACGGAACAGGGAAAAAGGGGACCTCTGGCGGCAGAAAGGAGCAGCTGCACTTTCCCGTCATTCCCCCGCCTAATTTAGCTCATTTTAACCACCCTGGCCCCTAGACTCCTACCCTGCTGCATCTTTATGGCAAAAAGTCCCGTTACACTTGCTGCATCGGGGTGCGAATTTTGGCCCCAAGTGCACTTTTGTTCTTCCCTACAAAACATATATTGTAACATGTGTATGGAAAAAAAAATCTTTAAAGGCTGGCGGCAGCTTTTATTTCTATGACCTTAGATTTATATTTTTAGTTTGTACTGTGCACATAGACATGCAAGAGTCGAGGTCCCAAAGAGGGGACATAGACTCCTCAGGCATAAGTCCTACTGTGCTGAGGAATCCAGAGCAACTGATCTCAGAAACTGCTCTTTTGGATAGAATAAGAGCAGTTCTAGCATATTTTGAGAGATAGGTGATTTGGCTCTTGGGGTATAATGTGTCTCTCCCTGTATATTTTCCTAGAGACTTTAACTAAGCTGTCAGGGAGGATAGAATTAAGAAGACAAATAATATGTATCAGTTAGAAATCACACATATAATCTATACCTCTTTCTGCCAGGAAAAGTTCAAACCTTTAAAAAGAAGACATGTCTATTTCCATGCTATCTCTGAATGTCAGAAGATTTCCACAAACTTTTCCTTTCACACCATACTATCTTACAAAAGCTGCAATGAAAGTGTATGATTAGCAAAGAGCAAGATTAGTCACACGCCCCTGCGGCAAGACCTGTTCTAGCACATTTCTTTCATAGTTCAAAACACAGTGATTGCCACAGAGTGTGCGGCACGTTCTTCTGACCCAATCAGACAGCGGGATTAGATCAATGTGCAGTTTCAAGGACAAATAAAGTGCAGTTTTACCTTCCCAATCCTAAGCGCAGGAGCAGCAGCAGCACACAGAATCCACAGCCGTATTTTCTCTCAGACATCCTCGGAAAATAATACAAACATCACCACATACTTGCTACTCATTATAATTACACTGGCATGCACTGTTTTCTAATAAGACATTGTAAGACATAGGGCTCTGAGCGTTAAGTTGGCAGGCTACTCAAAGGAGCAGACAATTTATACTGCAGGTTTTGTAAAAGTCTAGGCAAACACTTCTAACTGGGCAAATGTGTCCACAATTTTTTCGCTAGCTGCCAAGGACAAAACTGAGAATCTAACAAATTGTGTCATAGACTTTGAAGACTTCACACAACTATGATCTATGATCTGATCTACTTCCATGAATCATGTTTTGGAGTCTGACATCATAAAAATATTCTGGTTTCATATTTTTATTAAATTTATTGAGTATCATTTCCTGCATCTCACATGAATAAATTGCTCACAGCATGAGGTATTTGCAGAATCAGCCTGTGGAGAATGTTAAGTAATGTGGCAAGTTAATGCTATGCTTTGTTCAAGCTGTGGAGAGGCGAATCTATGGCTGGACATGAGTCAGAGCTAGCAGCAGGGCATGCTGAGGAGGAGCAGGAATTTTTTCTGTGCCAGTGTCAGCGGCCCAAGGGACACTGGGCTAGTGGTATTCACGGGAAAAAACTGCTCAGGGCCAGGAAGTGGCTCTCGTGATTTTGAAGTCCAGTTTACCCTGGCTTGCTGGAAAGCCACTTGGAGGAAAAAGGCCAGAGGCTTTCAAATCTTTCCTAAAGGAAATCTAGCCTGGAATGCTTAATTAGGCTTCCTTGATCTGATGGAGACAAGGCAACACCTCTAGGTGAAGAATAAATTAATCAACAATGACTGACTAATTGTAGCTAATGAAGTCACGTCTTCCTAATACAGCGAGATGAAATTGTGGTGAATGGATATTCCTCAAGTGACTTCCAGAGATTACCTGCCCCTGTTCACTCACCCCCCAAAATCGGTGAGGTGTTTCCTACAGATGCAGTGCTACAGCAGAAGGATAGGTGACCAAGATAAAGCAACAAGCTTAGTGATGGCAGCAGTTGCCAGATTCCAGGGAACAAGTTCTCAGTTGTAAGAAATTACAGGCTGTAATTTCTGAATTGCTAGAAATTTCTGATTTTCTGAATTACAGGCTGTAATTTCTTACAAAGGAAAACAAAAAAATTGAGAGTGCTCAAGCCGTTCTCCAATGCACATGGCAGATAATAAGCTGGAGCAAAATATCCTTTCTTGCAACATGACCTATTCCTTTCAGTTATAGTAATTTCAGATATTACTGAAAAGACAGACATAACTAAATATCAACACCACAAATGTGATTTCCAAGTTGAGACAATCTTTTAAATAAACCATATTACACATTTCTCGCTATCACCAAAGTTCCACTGCCCAACACTGAAAATGTCCTTATTGTTCAAAGGAAGCTCTGCACATGCAGGAGAGGATCAGGAATAAAACACAGAAGAGTGCCAACAGATTCTAAAAACACACAACGACATGATGGATAATCCACTGCCCAGGCCAAAAAAATAAAACAAAGCAAACAAACAAACAAACACCCCACTTGCATTACACGGAACATAAACAAACATCTTACTCTTGTGCACACTAAAGAGATGTGATGCCAGCAAAAGAATGGTGCTTGCTTTTTGTTTTATTAGAATTCATTTTGAATAAAAATTTCATCAACTTTTTCTTTCCCTTCGCAGAAATCACATCCGTGTGATTTTTTTCTGTTCTTCTTTCTGTGTGTCCAGTAAGTATCATATAATGTTAGCAATTCAGAAGTCTAATACCTTGTTAAAAGAGAGAGTATGTAAATAATGATTTGTCTTAAAAAGAAAAAAAAACTTTTTTTCTCCCATACTAGGAATATCAATCATTTGTAAATTTTAATAAAATTAGATTTTAATAAAATCAAAGAATAAGGATTTAAGAATACAGTATGGAATAGCAGCAGATACAAATATGGCTTCAGTAAGTAAAAAAATACACAGACTATACTTCTTTAAACACATTGTGTAAAGTATCCATATCTCCCAATAGAAAAAAAAAATACAAAAACAAAAGCAAACAAACCCGCACATTCTAGGACCTTTCCTTTTTTTCTGAGTGGAGGAAAAAGACTAAGGTATAAATGTGTTATTATAATAGTAGCCAGAGCACTATGTGTAACATCCAACCCCCTTGCTTTGCTTGAGTCTAAAAAGCATAGAAATAGGATTAATCATGAGTGATGAATTGAAGCCACTGAGCTCCTAGAACAGCAAAAGGGTCATATCTACATCCTGAAAGATGGATAGATATTTCAGATATTTTCAACTTTGATATAGAACAATACAGGTAGTTCCAGCTAAACTGAAGAAGCAATTTGCCAAAGCAAGTCCCACTCTCCCTCTGCTGAATACAAACCAGGTATCTGTCTAGGTAGATACCAGTTTATCAAACAGGCATCTTCCCTGTATCACAGTGGTGACAACTCACCAAAAAGTAAGCAGCTATTACACAGATATTCACAGTGTTGTACAGCATGGTAATTCCTCATCCTTAAACAGTGTAAATTTTTTTCGCTGGCGATTCAGATTCAAGCAACAAACCTTTCTTTTTGGTCCCACGTTATTCATTCTAATTTGTCTGTTTAAAATATTTAGGAGTGCTCATATGAAAATGATGAATATGCTCATAATTATGTCCATCTTTATAAGATCCAAACCTACACAAAAATATTCACAAAGAAAAATCATTACAATATGCATTAACCCATGCAGTTAAATCATGTACTTTTATAGCATAATCAACATTTCATACAAATGCTCTAGACAGTTCATTTCAGAAAGAGGCCACAAGTCTATTTACATATAAATCATAATCTGTGGAAATGATCTACCTAAAGGTCTCTGAGTTTAACAGAGACATTTAATTACACTGCTTGGATTAATGCCATGGGCATTCTATAAATGGAACTCCATCTGACAAAGGCGAGAGGTGCTTTTTATCCAGTAAAATCCTATACTCTAATTTTCTTCCATTGACTTCAATCAATGACAGAGTCCATCCCTGCAGCATCCAAATACTCAATCCTATTGTTAATATTGCACATTTGCCTTTTGAAACGTATGTGGAGATTTTAAATTTGAGGTCTATCAAGAAGTAGACTTTTCATGACATATTTAAATCTGAAAGCTTTCGCTGCTGACTATTGTGGTAGATAAATTTACACAGGAAAATATAGTGCTTATTTAGAATGTTCTTGCCAACTAGGCATTCTAAAACAGTGATAAGTCTAGTTATTGTAAAAAGTTAAACTTATTCCTAATGAGTATCACTTTTTCTGGATATAGGTGACACAAAGGAAATCAGGACAAGAGAGTCAATCTTGTGACTCTCTTGTCCAGAGTCACCGAAATCCATTGAGAAAAATCTGAACATGTAATGCTGACTTTAGGCAAGCTTCATCACGTGGAAAGGACTGTGCAAATCCCTGCTTAGTCAAGAAGCTAGTGATTGCAAAGTAAATAAAAAGGCAGTAAGCTTAGTTGTTAGGTGTATATAAGAAATTAATATATTGTCTACTGTGCACATCTGAAGTAGTAAGTTTCATGTGCTTGGGTTTGTTATCCATAGTGCTAGAAATTGTTCATCTGTGGCAACGTCTACCTGTTGATGACTCTTCCACTAATATAAAATAAATACCTGTCTCTATAGTTCTCTTATTGGTTCAGTGTCGGTAGAATAAAAATGACAGCATTCAAGCATTCTACGTTTTAAAAAGGAGAGTATTTAACATACACACACACACACACATATATATATAGTATTTTGCATTTTAAATACTACTATATTAAGGCTCTGATTCTCAGATGTGCTGAGAAACATTGGAGATATCTCATCAACTACAAAGTGAGTCACCAGCACTTGGCAAATCTCCCTACCAAACAATTTCAGAAATTAACCATCTGGGAAAAATTGAAATTACCTTTAATTTATGCTACAGTGCAGCAGACTGAATTTCCCAGGACACATGCCAAGTCAATGGAAAAAAATGAATCATATATCAGAAGTTTTTGCCTCCTGAACTTCTACACAGCCTGGTATTCCACATGGCCACCCACTTTAGTAAACATATTTTTTCCTAACATTGTTTCCTATAAAAGACAGTGTACATCATTGATATAATTACTTATAAGATACACTGACCTGGGATTGAAATGTATGTCCTCGGGAATTTGGTTGGGATCAATGACAATTCTGTCATTATCAACATAATTATCCAAGTCATCTGGGATTCTAAATTTGGCCATCTGGACTTCTGAATCACTTAGACCAGCATGAGATATGCGGGCATAGCCCAACCTACCAGGAACAAGGAGGGTTAGTTTGAATAAATAACCCAAGGCAATTTTACCTCATTCTTAATATATGAGTTTTGCTTTTTTTTTCTCCCCCCACTCTGTGAGGGCTATTATTTTTACCTACCAATATATCTTTCTATTTATATGGACATCACTTTCAAAACTCTTGAAGTGTTTAATAACATAAGCACTATTAAACACAACCTCACAAGTAGAAAAACTGAGAATCTGTGGGTGTGAAAGTAAGTTCAAGAACCATTTTTTTCCCCCAACTACTCTTTGAGAAGATACATACTGGTATCATTTCATCAACCTCTTCACTGAGGTATTTTGAAATTCAAGTCAGGAACTCAAGCATCAATGGCATGAGTAACTGGAAAAAAAAAACCTGATACAGTTACTTAAGACAGTTACTACTTTTACTTCTGTCAACACTGCAGAATTTGCACAGTTAATTTAGAATAAGCAGAATTCTATTCTGCTACGCATATCACCCGGAGAAGGATTTACAAACAACTTTGCTTTACAAAATACAGAATGCACAGGCCCAGCAAAGGAAAGTGCTTACATATGGGCTTACACCCTTAGTTTCCACTATACCCAGCATAAAGTTTTGGTGCATTGGATCAGCACTTTTCATGAATAAACCCTACAATCATAGTTCATAATTTGTCTCTTCTGTGTCATTTGCAAATTAAGGCTTAGCCTTCACAATTTTAGGATGAAGCTGCAAAGCCAGAGCTTGGATCTTAGAGAAAAAAAAAAAAGTATTTTTCTGTTACCAAAGCAGGTTAATTTTGCAAACAATATTCAGAATTACACCAATTCACCCTGAGGCCCATGCTCATTAGGTCACGGTATACCTAACTGGCCAGACATAATTGTTTAGGGATGTAAAACTGCTATGCAAGTTCCTACAGAAACACCTAAAATTTATACCCATAAACATATGCAAAGTCAGTGAATAAATGATCCACTTGGGCATACCTGATTACTCCACGGTACATAATATAACTACACCATCTATCAAGGTCTGTACTGTCAATATCCTACAGGTGGAAGAAAAAAAAAAGTCAAGCAAATAAGGCAAGCTTTCCTTAAGGAAGTGCTTTAAATCAGTAATAGAACCAATGTGTAACTCTGCTGTAGAAAAGCATTTTGCCTGAGGCGTAGTAACAAGGCAGAAAGGAAAACAACCCACTACGTCAAGACAACATCTGATATTTCCTGACAGACAAGTGAACTGCAGAACGTTCCTCTAAAACAACAGAATGATGCTGAGCATGGGAGAGGCTGGAAGGGAACTCAAGAGGACACCTCAGTCCCAAAGCCGTGCCCAAAGCAGGGCAAACTTCAAGGAGGTAGCTCAAGGCCAATAGAGATTTCATAACTTCTTTGGGCACCTGTTTTAACTCTTGACACCCTCAATGTGATTTTTTTCTTCCATCAGAATTTCCCTTGTGGCAACTTACATTAAAGCATGTATTCTTGTATTATAGTATATTGTATATATGTTATTATGTATTATATTCTTGTATCTCCATTTAAGTTATCAATTTGAAATTTTAATATTAATTTTGAAAATACAAATTATCTTCAATTGTTCAAAGAAACAATGGCTTAACATTACCTGGACATTTCCATTTTCTATTAATTCGGTATAATCTCTGGATCTAGGAGCTGAAGTGATGTATCCCAGAAACACAACTTGCTTAGAGCTAGTCTTCAACAGCTTTGCAACAGTTATAGCCTGCAGTTTTCGGTCCAAGTCCTCTCTGAAGGAAATTGAAAGACTTTATTATAAATATATTCTAGCTCGGATTCTTTCTGTTATACTAAACTGCATACAAGTCTGACATAATTCTTTTTAATAGCTCAGTATTAAAGTGTGGAAGTCTACAGAGAGCTGACTGATTTGAAATAACCACAGTGTTTGATAAAAGCTACATGCTAGACCCAATTAGTGTTCTCTTTCTAACTATTACATGAACAACTTGTTCTATTGTTATTTTGTTTTTAATAGCAAGCTCATCACTGGAAAATGTGAATTTCTAAGTGCTTTGGTTATCTGAGACTTTCTGTCTGTCTGCACTTTAAATTTAATTGTGCTAGCACAGACTGCCTGGTGCATTACAAAGAGTACACATCTTAACAAAACCCTTTGCTTTTATCATGAAAGCATCACTGTAAGAAGAAGTTTCAAAGTCCGGGTCACAAAACTTACGAAATACAATTTAAGAACTATGTTGTCCCATTAACTTTACTTGCAATATTTGCCAAGTATTCTGTACTCTTTTATAAGATTTACAGAACAGTTTATGTGAGATTAATAGCAGATATAGCCTAGTAATTTTTTTTTGTTTTTTTTTTTTCATAATATAATGCAATAATGTTTATGTTTCCACAATTCTTCACATTAATAACTTCTAGAAGTTATGCAAAGTATGTTTTTTTTCTTTTTGTTTATTTGATTAAATACCATCAAGACAACAAGCCGATTTTGGAATCTATAGTCCCCAAAGAAGCTGAAATACTGCTGTGCATTCTGAACACTGATTCCGACTGGGGAAAATGCATTATGCAAAAAGGGCAGAAAGAGAAAAAATAAATAAACAAATAAATAAACATTTAAATAGAAGCCTGGCATAAGCACATATAGAGTTGCCTGCTCTGCTAGGTACTCTTTCCAAAACTATTTCTATCTAAAAGACAGGTTCTTTTAAAGGATACCAGCATTGATATATGCCCACATTTTAAAAAGAGACTAAAAAAAAAATTTGTCATCCAGTATCCTAGTTTATGTCATCCTGAACAACAGAGACAGCTTTATGTGCTACCTAATTACAAATTAATTCACCTTAAAACACAATTCAGTTTGTACTTGTTTCCCATGTGTCTCCTATTTTCTCCTTCATTGTTATCTCTCTGTGAGGGCAACTAGATTGCTATTTTCCTCTATTGTGACAAATAGTTTCTCAGAAGCAAGTCTAATTATGTATGTGAGGCACAAAATGGAGTGGCTTAGTTAGTGTTCCAATTGAGAGTAATTTTTGACAATTATAAATATATATATAGTAAAAGGGAACTCTATAAACTATTTGCATGCCTGGAGCACAGCTTTTATCCAGGGGATGCAAACAGGAAAGCTCAGTATAGGATGGGATAAAAGGACTCCTATTTTTCAGCAGCTTCTTTATACATTATACTCTACAAGCAACGCATAAATTTGCCACTTGGAAAACTACAATATGAAATACATATATAATATAAATGCAATATATAAATATGAAAAGAAACAGAAAATGTCTAGAGTTTCTAAAAGCTATGCATTATTAACATTCATTACACAGAAGTAATCAAGAAAAAATATATTTTTATCTTTCCATCACATATTTGAGCTACAGGTATAATCTCCCCTCCTTATGGAATATAACGGGGCTCTTCCACACACAGAGTTACACAGACAGTACCCCTAACTAAGACACATCTGTGGCCCTGTTAGCTATTCTGGTTTTGCAGAACAGTGCCTTTGTAGCATAAATATGGGTATTAGGCTCAGCTGAGTTTTCCATGACACTTTCCCCTTAAAAAATGTTTCAAAATTTTTAACCACTTTCTGTGCCATAAACAGTTTCTCCAGCATGCCTTGCTAGAGCCTATCTTATAAGGAAAGATGTTAAAGACTACAGAGCAATTAAAACAGAAGCTCACTAATGACAGTTAATGATTCACTTCCTACAATATACACAACAACAAATAAAATACACACTCTTCATTTCCAAAGTGAGCGACAACAAAGTCAATCAGTTTCCCTGTGAAGTTGACAGTCATGGAGATGGCAGGTGCAATTTCTCCCTCTGGAGACGGGAGGAGGTGATGGGTAGATTTTACAATTGGATACCTTGAGAGTGCCATAATCCTACATGAGAATAAAACAAAGCAGTTATATTGTCTAGTTCTTAAATATCATAAAGTTTTTATAAGCAGACAAAAGTGTGAGCTTGAGACAAAATTTTGAATAATGATCACACAACTCAAACCATCAGATGATAATTTAACCATCTATGGAAAGTTTTTCTAAATCTATTTTCTTAAAATATTGCTGAAGTAAAAATGTCTAAAACTTATTACCAAATAACTCCTTCACTAAACAATTTTTTAACAAAGTCTCTACGAGCAGGTCACTAATAACAGGGGAAAAAAAGACTCAGGGATCTTTATAGATAAATTGTGAAGGGACAAGAAAGGACTGTTTTTAGGGTGTTTCAGATGAGGACCACCTGAAGACCAGAGTTCCCAAAAACCCCACATGCCCATCCATCAAGAAAAGAACGGTGGTCATTTGATGAATGTATTTACAAAGACACACTATGAATTTTCACATGGAATCCTTCAAAATCAGCATCTGCAAGCATAACAGAATTTGTAGTGCTATTTATTACATCTTATTTAAAGCAGAAAGAGGCAGTAATATTTCTTTAAAGGAGATTGCTCATTCTTTCAGTGTCTATTAGCGACCAACCTTAAAACCACTGTGTCTCAGGTTTTTCAAAACTTCTTATGTGGAAAAAAAAAAAAAAAAAGAAAAGAAAAGAAAATGTGAGAGAATGACTTCTCTGCTCCATCCCGCATCATTTCGAGCCAGATTCTGAAAGAGGAAGGGTTTTTTTAGATGCAGTTACACTTTCCAATTGCTATTACGTCTTTCAGCCTGAAATCTAAAGTCCTCAAAGCTCCAAAACATAATGAAGAAAGAAGCAAGTCAGATGCAGTATTTGGAATAGATTTCCAAAACTGTCCACTATATTAAGGGACAGGATTCCACTTCCTGAATTATGAAAGCCAATGTAGCAACCGATACTGTTTAACAAAGAGGAAGCTTCTTCATCTGCAGTACATTTCAATGCTAGTGACTCAGAGACTCTTCTCCAAGACAAGCTCCAACAAGTGATTATCATCACTATTATTCTAATTATTTTTTGTCCATGTTTTAGTGGAGTTAAGAGTTGGGTAACTTATTCACTTGATTGCTTTTCTTCTTCTACAACTGATGACAGAAAAACAAAACCATGAAAAATATTTCTCCTAATTTATTTACTGTCACTCTGTGTGACAAGATGACTCACCCCCAAGTGTGATCTCTTGTGCTTGGACCAAAATCTGTGTAAAATCCTAGTCTTTCACCAAGCCACATTGTTGGATCATTGTTCCCCATGAATGGTTTAGAAGCATCACTCTCCAGAATAGTGATAAAATCTGCACCTAAAAAGAGGAAAAAAAAAAAAAAAAAAAAAAAACAGTCCTTCCGAATTCATAACCATGTCAATATATGATGTAGTTGGGACCACTCTTACCCTGCCAAAAGTGATGCCTGACCTTTGGGCCACCAGAGGCCATGCCAACCCCTGATGGAGATACTCCGTATGTGAATGTCACAGCTCCTCCTCCGTGAACAACCAGACGTCCAGGACACTGCACAGCACAGCTGGCTACATATAGGTACCATGCTGCATTTCAGAAGCATTGCACTTCCCGTGCAGAATCAGATTAACCATGCAGCAGTGGGCCTGTTGCTTTGAGTTTAATGAGCAATTGCTACACAAGTTCTTCAGACTTACTTTCATCCACTAACTTGCTATTTCTTTCCGAAGGGTCCAGGGAGAGAGGCATCGGGCTGTTGCTGCCCAAACAATTCATCAGCCCCAGACATGGGGATAGGAAGGATCCCAGCTTCAGTGCACTGGAGATCACAGCAGCCACCACACTTTTCCAGGGGAGTGTGGTCCCTCCCTGTTACATCCAGAGGCCTCTACGTTTTGGCTACAGGGTAGAGTTATCCCATCCTCAAAGGGCTGGCACATTGGAAAGGGCTGTCCAGGCCTGAAGGTTCAAAATTTTATATTTTGTAACTCTTTAAAACTAGGCAAAAACTATCTTCGCACAAATGGATTTTTGATTGAAGTGATTGTACTGGAACAGCTCATGACTTCAGCAGAAAGCTCCTAGTAGGCACGTGCTCTCGTGTTACTGTGAGAATGGAGTGAGTTACACAGCAGGTGTCCTTGCCTCTAACTCCCAAAAATAGACGAAGTAGAACAAAAAAATACCTGTCTGATTAAGCAAATTAGCTGATCCTTCCAAATTAGACCATCCTTCATTGTCATATCCAAATCGAAAAGGCCAGATCATAGCAGAGAAGTCTCTTTTAGGAAGCTGAGGAAAAAAAAAAAAGTCAAATACAATTTGGCTTTTACATATGATATCTTCTCAGTCAATGATATCAGATATGAGACATATGTGGCCTCAGAACACATCTTTTAATCAGTGCATTCTTCTAATAAAACTGAAAGGATTACAAAAATCTACAGATATTGATAATGGCATAGATTTTTCTAACAAAGAAGAGAGAAGTCATGGTAGTTGATTGGAATTTGTGTAAGTAACAGTAAGTAAATGAACATTAAGAAAGCCAAGAATATTTTCATCTTTCTCAGAGAAACTATACACTGTTTTCCGCATCACAAAGTAGTACAAACTTAGATGTGTTATGACAAAAAAAATCAAGTGTGTGTGTGTGTATTCATATTGATTAAGATATACACATATATTTTTTACTCAGCTTGTATCACGTTTTCTGCATCTTTTTTTTTAAATCAGTGACTTCTCTAACAAAAATATTTTCCATCAGAAATACAGATCAAGTGACTAGATCAAGTCAATACAGATCAAGTTTCAAGTGACTATTTCATGTCTACTAGAAAAAAAGAAAACCTCTAATTCATAATTGCACTACTGACATTAATATGATTGAGTTGGTCTTGGTTATAAAACTGAATTTTTAGTTTACATCCAATCAAAACAACTCTAGCTCTAACTTTGAATTAAAATTACTAAATATGCAAACAACACTCAGACAACTTACAAGTAATCTAAATGCTAGAATCAGCTAGCAATAAGCATCCTCAATTGTCACTATCATTACAATATCATCTTTTTTTCCAGCTAGAAAACTAGAACCTTCTAATTTTTATCCATTTCCTTAACTAATTAGTTATGAAACATTAATCTAAGTCAACTAACTTATCGGAGCAGTTCCATTCAGTTATGTATGTAAACACAGAATCACAGAATATCTTAGTGCACCCCACATTGCATTATTATTGCTAGATACTGCTGCGAGGGTCTCCTGTGCACCAAAGAACCCACCTAAGGTGTCACACGCGCACTTCGCAGTGAAGTTACCGTTTCCACAGTACTCACCCCCTGCCCCAGCTTCTGCTTGTAACTTTTATAGCGTAGACCCAGTCCTAGCAAACCAACACCAACAAACAGCCACAACACTTGAAACAGAGAACACAGAAAAAATATTTTAAAACAGTAGCAAATTATCTTCTTACTGTAAGAAAAGAATTGGGTATATTGTCATTCTGAGGTGAGCTATTCACTGGGAATGGAGCATGCTGTGATAACACCATTCCAAAGCAGTTCACACAGGGAAATCTCTATGTGTGCAGACACACTTATGTCCTCCAAAACAGGACAGGCTGAGCAGACTGAATATACCAGATCTACATGGAATACTTGTGTAAAACTGATACCCACTGAAGAATTCATTGTAGGACCTGACTAATAGCATCATGTACACTTTTTTCAGTGTTTTTATTCCTTGTGTTTCAGATACACACATACACAACTTCTATTTTACAAACACAATGTGTGGAAGAAAAATCTAGTTTACTTGACAGGCCTCTAGATGACAAATAGCTATAACCGGGGGCAGATCTCCAGCACAATCCTTTGCTAAGTGTACACATGGGCAGATTCTTGCAAAAGCACCGTGGGCTCACAGAATACAAACTCAGGGCTTTCCCATGGCTTCTGGGGCCTTCTAAATAACAGCAGGAGACAGCTAAAGGCTCTCAGGGTTTGCACATTATAATTTCATGATCAAATCCCTCTGTGGTTATTTCACGTGAACAGTGGCATAAAGAATCCCCAATGACTTCATCTAACTCCAATTTATTCTTTCATCGGATCTTTAAAAAGGCATTTAGTTATAAGGATTTTTTTCTGGAATAATTTTACATAAAGTTCCAGCAGTTATATCACAGATGAAAGACGTGATAGAACGGATGTGTTCTCTATACTAGCAAACACTAAGCAAACCCACACTCTAATTTGTGAAAGTGCTTAAAGGGAAACTGAGAAAAAGAAGAGTCCGGGCACAGTGAAGAGAGTCCAAGTAACGTCACAAAAATCAGCCAGCTGGGGCCGTGCTTTGAAGGCGACGGACAGTATTTTCTAAGTATTTAGTCATTTTGTGGAGTATTTGGTTTTGGGTTTTTTTTGAGTAGTGATGTTAAAACTACTTGCCCTGGTGCTCACATGGCCTCTTATACACAAACACGCTCTTTGATACTCTTCTGGCCCCCAAGGACACAGAGGAAAGGTCTTCATGAAGCCCCCTGAGACAGCCCTGGCAAGTGGGGAAGCGCCGTTGTCTCCACTCGCCAAACAAGCTACAACAAGGCATGCAAGAGATACGTAACATGATCCAAGGTCACCCAGAAAAAACCAGATGCAGGAACCTGAACCTCACGGATACTGATTCTGGAGGCTTAACATGCCACAACCACTCCGTGTTTGTTTGTTTTCTCCTTTTTTTTTTCCCCCTTTTACCATACTTTATGCTGCATGTTTCCTTAGAAAAACAAAACTAGCAATGAAAACATTTCAGGTTGAAATGATCACAGAAAAATACTTGAAAATATTGTCTGAGTGGATCACACAGATTCAAAAAAAAAAAAAAAGCAGCAAAAGAACTCACCCATTTTAGTTACTTTTCAGAATCTAAGAAAAAAACCACATACTTATCACCTGGTGATTTGGGGTCCCTAGCTACAGTGCCAAGGAAGGAGACAGCAAGGATTTAATGAGGATGGAACCTGCTCTGAACATGCGGCAGGCGGACAGGACAGCAGAGCAGTAGCAGCCACCACAGGCTTTGTAGAGCTGCCTCCTCCCACAGGAGGGGACTTGCAAAACACAGGCCCTGCCAGGCCAGAGTCCCATCCCACAGGCAGCCAGCTGACACAAGGGCTCATGCTGAAATACTCAAAATCAATATACAACTCAAAAGCTGGCAAATCATTCTCATCTTCTGTAAACGTAGATAATAAAGCTCAAGATCCAGAGAGGATGTTCTAAAACATCTGAGCAAAAACACTCTACTGTTTATTCTTTCTCATCACACAATTTTGCTAGTGTCATGTAAGAAACAAGGTAAAATTATACTTACATAGTTTAATACAGTTTATACTCTTTTTGAGTAGTGGCTTTTGGTTGCTTTTCACTTCAAAGATAGAACTAAGATCTTTCGTGGATCCTGTTAGAATACCTATCCCAATGCATAACATGAGAAACCCTGTAAAAATAAAGTCATTAGTTTCTTTTTTGTGGAGTTTATACATATTATACAAGACTGTAACGCACTAGCTAGGAATTTACGAATGCAGCATTTACAATCTCCAACAAGACAATGAGCCAACCCACAAGCAGAGATAAATGCCATATCAAAATGCACTAATGTAGTAGACATAAGAGATATATGATAAAGATCCTGCTTATCATTGTCATAGTATTCACTCGTGCCTGGAGCAATTCAACAATAACACAGTATTTTAATTTACATTGTTCCACTTGTTGACATCAGCATTGCTTGCAAAAAAAAATGAGCTAGTGACACTAAGTATCCCACCAATTATAAATATTTCAAAACAGGAGTATTCCAATAGGAATTTAAAATTAAGAATATCTAAAACTCCCCTGAACATCCATTTTACAAAGAAAAAAAATGAAGTGAATTATATTTTTCCTTTTTTTTTTTCTTCAGTAAGCTGATTCTAGGACTTAGGAAACCTGAAGCAGAAGAGTGAACCAAAACAAGAGGACCTGAGAGAGAGCAGGCACACACATGATACAACCCTGTTAAGCCTCTTTTGAGCACCTCATAACTGAGGAGCAAATGAAGAGCTAGTAAAAATGTGTAGGCAAAACCCCCAGGACTACCCAGGACTGGAGTGAGCTCTGACATACAGCCCACCTTTGCATCTTTGAGCCTCAGCACAAGGGGGGACTACTGACACCCTGACTCCAACCTGCACAGAACCCAGGGCACCCTCAGTCATGGCAGTCAAGCAAAGACTGGGCTAACAGCACATCAGTATCATGTCATGGCTTTGGAGAATAGCCTAGCACACAGTGGGTAGATTAGGTTAGGTGCTTCCAGACCCTACTGACAGCTACATTAATGAAGACAAAATAATCGTTATTCATCATTTTCTTGTTGCCCTTACCCATTGCAATAGTTGTAGTAAAGGTCTGTAAACTGGGAACCTGGCTCTAGAGCAACAAGGAGAGGGGTGCGCGCACACAACACACACAACTTTCTCCAAAGCAGACGGATGCAAATCCATTAAAGCCAATGCAGGAGCCGGGACCTGACCCTGAGCATTATGTTACACCTCTGTGAAGCAGCACATAAGTTTTGAATATAACCATCTTACTTTCATTGCCATTTTTCCCAGTGCGGTTCCCTACCCAAACTGCAGTAAGAAAAAGGCAGGATATTGGACAGGAAGAAAGAGCAAGGAATAGTACTTGCACCTGAAAGAAACCAGAAAAGAACAGGAAGTTTGCCAAAAAGCTAAGCTCTAAGGGAGAAAGTGCAGTAACAAATAAACAGTATCATGGTATATGAAAAGCTTTTACAAGCAACGAGGCAGCATCAAACATCCAAAGACTGGATTCTCAGGCAGAATAAATTCACGCAGTGCCATCAACTGAAATAGACTCAGCTCACATCATTTTTTTGCCACATAAAAGAAAGTTATGTCTACGTCTGCATTATGGCCCAAAGATAACGCCAGCTTAATTAATCACAAGTATGTATTTCAAAAGAAGTGAAAGAGAAACAGTTCTTTTTTCTCTCATAGTATTACTCAAGAAAGTATGCTATACTTCTCTACCACATCCTTTCTTCATATAACTTTAAAAAATGAACTGAAAAAAAAAATTCTACAAATCTCTCATAGTGATTTCAGAACAAAGAAAACTCCAATAAAACTGAAGAAACCCTCCTCAAAACATATACAAACTCTGAAAATGTTTGTTGTGATATTTGAAATACTGCACAGAGAGACTAAAAAATGGAATGACAGAAAGTGGTTGCAAAGCATACCTGAAATCCTAAATCATCACAGCAACAAGTCAAATCCAGTATTTGTTACCCATTTACAAAAATATATACTATAGAATGTCATACATTTAGGTCAAGACAATGTTTAGCAATCTTTAAACACTATCAGTGAAAAATGCTATTGAAACATGTTAACAACCCTTAGAAACATGATGTGGAAGACAAAACCAGAAAGGGTTTCATTTCCACTCCTCCACTTTCATCAAGGAGTCTTTTACTAAAATCTTCCTATCTGCTTTTCTCAGTTCTTCCTCTGTGGTAAATACCTGCCACTTTCTATTCTTCTCTCTTGTCTGCATGTTTCTGAGAGCGCGGGCTTCTCAGCATTGCATCAAATACACTGCAGTGGCCACCAAGCTCAAGGCAGCGTAACATGGAAATGCAAGGGCAGGTCTCAAAAGCAGACTGGCTAGAAGAGCCAGGAGGCTGCACTCTGCCCTTCAGAGCAGGGCTAATAATGCATTGACCTATGTTGCTGTTCCAGAGAGGCTTTTCATTCTTCATAAAACCCCGAGTTTCCAGCAAATAGACTGTCATTTGAAGTACCAGGCTGCTACCTGGTGTAGTTTACAGCTGCAGTCACACCCCGGATTAGAGAAGAGCAAAATATTTTTAGGGTGACTGATTAACACACTTTTTCTCCAATTGTGTACTGGGTCAAGAGAGTTGCTTTTTTTTTCCCCATTTTTATCATTTTTCCACAGCTTAATTGCATTTTCTGCCTACATTTTAAAATATTTTCAAATATTTTAACAGTTGAGAAACAAGCAGGTTTTTCTTGTTTGCTACATGCCTGATTTTCTCATAGAAACTGAGCAAATCAAATAGGAATTGAACACTTAGAAAGACTAGTTCCACTAGATTCACTTTAAACATCTGGCTGAAGCTAAAGCCCTCATATTTGTCTCTGTTCATAGCCATAAATGTACCTAAAAGAAGGTGGGATTTTTCTCTAGCATAAATTCCTCCAGGTACAAATTTATAAGCAGTACACCATACACAGAAGAATAACTCAAGAACATAGGCCAACATGGCTGTAGTCATGGCTTTCCCGGGATGAGGGCAACGGATGAAGCGTCCAGCCAGCTGGGGCCACACACTCATAGTAAAGAGAGCAAGAATACTGCCTGCAACAGCAGCGCTCCAGGTCTGCAAATAAAGGAGACCAGCCGAGGACGTTACACCTGTGAAGGGACAGAAAAGAATGGAGTGAGTTGCAGTCAGCTATATTATCTGCCTTCTTGTTATTCATAGTCTCTCTGGGAAAAGAAAAATTTAAAGAAAAAGATTGGAAAATGTAAGTGTGCCCTGCAGCCATGAGAACTGCTGCACTGTAAGGATGTTTTTTTCCTATAGCCAAAGACAGCCTCTCACTTATCTCAACATCTCATTCTTTTAAAGAGTGTTTTTCCAGTTGCAGACAGTACAGCAAAAGCTGCAAAGAAACTTCATCAGATGCAAAATCCCCACAGGCTTAGCTACATAAGGTCACCCCAGCACAACACACAGATCATGCTGTTTTTAAGAGATTAACAGGTAAAAAGCAGGACCTGCTATGAACCTGTTCTGACAGAACAGGTAAAGAATGAAATGGGTTCAGGCGAAATAAAAAATATTCCTTTTCCTGACCTACTCTCCCCTCTAGATAGCCATATGACCAACAGAACTAAGGTAACTAAAGATAACTATTCATATTTTACCAACTGCAAGATCTTTATTTTGCCACACACAAACTTAGTCCACAGTAAGGTTTTAGTGTTCAAGGTTGAGGAAAATGACTTCAAAAATAGCTGTCAGCTCCAGCACACCCTGATCCCTTACCCCCCACCTTAAACCCGCTGTGGGCAAAAATATTTTGCCCCATCAGGTCTCAGCTGCTCTCAGGAGAGCAATACTCTCTGCATTAGCCTTATCCAGCTGCTCAGACAGAGATAAAGTGGAATGGACTCCAAGGGCATAAATAAAGTGAGTAAGGGAACAGAAGCAAAACTTTGGCTCATGATTTGCACCTACCTATAAGAAACCAGGCAAAACTGGTAACAGAAGACCAACTCCAAAATGACAGCATCAATCCATGAGCCAGTCCCAACAGAACTATACCTCTAATACAAAAAATAAGGGAAAAGAAAGCCAGTATTCACAAAAGAACTTTTAGATACACAAGCAAGAATGCTTGGTAACATTTTATAATCCTTTTTTTTTTTAGGTAGTTCTGACCCGAGCACAGCGTATCTTTACCTCATATTATGCTGCTTTTTTCTCCCCTTTGCAGTCAAATCAAAACTACCCAGTTGAAATTAACGGCATTTTATCATAGTGTACAAGTGAACTATGTTTGGCAGTAGAAGCACACCACTGAAATATTTTAACAGAAGAAAAAAATAATAACTGGGATAAAAATCAGAGGGAGGAATATACCCCGAACAGAAATATTTTCTTCACTTCAAGAAGGGGACACCAGAGCACCTAGCATTGCTGACAAATTTGGAGAAATCTTGCGTGTTCTATCTCCAAATTATTAACTATGTCACCTGCAGCTACATCAAGCTGGCCATCAGGTTAACTAATCCAGTTTCCTTCTAGATTTTGCAACTTGGGTGAGCAATGCATAGCATTAAGACTAAATTTTCTCCAACCAAAACTATTTATGCATGACCTTTACTACAGCAAACCATTTATTTTTTTCTAACATGCATTTCCAAAGTGATCTGATTTCCTACTACATTCCCACTGAAGTCAACTCCTAGATTCATTTACTGCATATTACAGATGTTTCGCTTCCTTCATAAATCCTTGAATCTCAGTCTTAATTTAAAAAAGAAAGTTTTTTATAATGTGACAGTGCAGATTTTATTACTATTGAAATTAAATAAAAATCATTCTGAATTAGAGAATCTTAAGGTATGTTCGTACAGAAGCAATGCTCAGAGATATGTAATAACATCAATGAATGAGGAGGACTGAGTGAATACTTCTCAGACACTGCTCACAAAGTACCTTTACATATAAAGTACCCACTTGATTTTACAAGGATTCTTATACTACTCCCATCTGCTAACTGAGCTACTTCCAGCATTCCATTAAGTAATATGACATATTTGCCCTCCCTCTCTGGAAAAAAAAAATGAAGTTGAATGTCTTGATATTGTTTAAGTTTAATTTGTGCCACTCAGTGTGGCACATTTACTACTTTGTTCAAACAATAAGAACTAGCCACACTTACCCATATGGATTAGGATCTGGGCCTGTATGTGGATGTCCACTGACTGCCCATCTAGAAACTAGTGAGACCTCCCCAAATATCCAGACAGTGAGGAACATGAGGCTGCCAAAAGCAAATCCTGAAAAAAGCCAGTTCAATGGCGGAGTAGTTCCTCGAACTGCATTACCAGTTTTATTACTTGTTTCTTGTTTCTTCCTGTCTCCACCTAGAATAAGAGTAGGAATGCAGCTGATCAAAGCATGAAATAGTATTAGAAAGAGTTATTAAGAAAAAGACATACCAAGAGCACAACATATTCAGAATAAATTACTGGCTCAGACACAAAAGCTAACTTATCTGATCCTTCACGAGAAGAGGAAAAAGTCTCTAAAACAGGTTCCTAGAAAAAGGCACTCACCTCACGTGCAAAAATGGCAATCTGGCCCTACGATCATTCATACTATTGGAATTTAAATCATTAAATGGCCTTTGAAAATCAGCAGAAAAGTTATTAGCATTTATTTAGAGGATTCTGTTCTCTGAAACCCTAACCTCTGATAAGAACAAAACCTGACACTTCAGAAGAAGCCAGAAATAAACTCCCTTCCCTCTCTCCTCTTTTTTTCCATGCACTTTAGATCCTCTCTTCTCTAAGGAAAAATTAGTGTCTTTACCTGTATCGATCATGCTGTTCTGTCAACTCAGAAGCATTTTAAAACACGCATAACATTTTCCTTAAGCTAAGTTTGTGTTGTTGAAGATAACTAAACAGAGGACAGATACTTTGTCTACAATTATAGTACTACACTACACTTGAGGGTACTCCAAAGCAAAGAAATAGACCATGCTTTTTACTATGCAAACAACACAATTATATATTCCTAATGACAAAACAAAAGCTATTGTTATCAATAATAGCTTTTCCTGAAGTATTACATATTACTGGAATATAAAAGTACTGAAGATGAGGTTTTAAATCCAGGCATCCAAAATTAGACAACACAATTTATAAATGAAAATGATCAGATTCCTGCATGTGTTTAGAGACATGCCACTGATCTCAGTGGCACATTCGCAGCTTCTAGGACAAAATGCACTGTCCAGAGTTTAATACATCAGACTCCCAGTGTTTTTGGGGTGCTAGAAAAAGCACATGATATTTCTTATTTTTTATTTGTGACTCAGATTCTAGAAGGTATGGGTACAAAAAGAAGCCACAACAAAGTTTTTAACAACTTCCAAGCATTCCTGAAAATAGTTTCTCTATTAGATATATCTGTTGGATGATACAGTGGTGTCTTGTCATCAGCATTCACTTAGTCATCTGCATTTCCTAGCAACACTATAGCTGCTGTATATTCCCTTCCTAATTTGCAATGAAAGAGCTCACTTATTTTATGTCATGCAACACACAAGTCTACATACAATATATTAATTCCAATTTATATCCACTTACACTTATTTTCACTTATATACGGTCTTGTATTTCAATGAATTAATTCAGGTTATACTAAGAAGGTATTTCTGAGGACTTAGCATGAGCTATCTTAATTATCCAACCCAACAGTGACTGTTTTTCTTGGCAATGCTACCTTCACAGTTTTAAATGTGATTAGCGGCCCTCCCTGTTGTGACACTGTGCAGAGACTGAGAATTCAGGCAAATTTTCAACAAGACATCCTGCTCCCTCCTCCAATTCTTCCTATTTATTTTCCCACATCAGCTGTTCCTCAGCTTTGTCCTATCTCCCCTCCTCTGACAAACTGAAACTTTCAGAGAAACTGAAAGAGTTAAGAAAAGAACAGATCCCACAGCTGCTTCATGCTGGGGAGAGCATAACCCATTCTGGTTTTACAGGTCAGGTTATTCTTTTGTTTGTCTAACTGCTGCGTTATTGATATTGAAACAGGTCATCAGTTCCAACATCAACTCTTTACAGCTTCTATGAATTGTAGCACTGATTCTGCCATTTTATTGGCAAATAAAAGCATGCTATGGTTTGCAAGGTCACCAGACTGGAGGCAAAACAAGGAAAGAGCAGCAGCAAAATCAGTGACACATACACAGGTATGACTTAGGTTGTTCTAACCACAAAGTTGAATCTTCTTTCCTGTGATACCCTTACCTGAATAAATTTGCTCCACTGCTGCTATAAAACCAAGTGTCAGTACAACAGCGTTGGCAGCTTGTGAGCTCCAGACTGGGTTTAGAGATGTATACCAGATCCGAAGAACAAGTAGCATTACCTTGCCTAGAATGAAGCCCCATAGCCTGATGAACCTGTAAGGACCAGATTTCAAGCACTTATGCGTTGGGAAAAAAAAAAAAAAAAAAAAAAAACTTTATTACTTGAAAAAAATACAATAAAAAGAAGCCATTCACAACCCCACCAATGTAAAAAATACCTTTGTAAACTGTTTCCTGACCACCATGTTACTGTTTGAACCAGCAATGAGGAAGAAACACCTGCAGCCAAGATGAATAGTCTAGCTGAAGCACTTGGTGCCTGATATGATGCTAAGCTTCCTACAAACAAACACATACATTTTGCTTTAATGGGCAATAGAGATCAGGTAATAAGGATTTCCTGTGAAACCTTTTTTTTTTTCTGCAATACTAATGGCCACACATTCATCTGAAAATACTACATCTTTTTAAACAAAAGACATGTAGGCATGGACCACAAAGGGCTACACAGCACTCGCATTATAGCAGTTATTATCAGCAGAAAATAAATATGTAAAAAGATTATCCAAGACTGCAGTTACTGCCTCTGTTTAGATACTAGTGGTAATTGATCCCATAACTAGATATTTGGATAAAATATCTAAGCGTATCATGCCTCTGAGCAGTGGGCTGATATAACTCAAAAGCTCTAAAACTTGGTGTTTATCCTCTCTGGGAAGAAATACTCAGCACATATTGCACTGAGTTTAATAAGCAACTGACCTTACTGGGTGAGAAGACTTTCCCTGACTCAGTATCCAGTATGAAAGGAGAGTGAAACAGCAGCATAGGTCACCTCCCTGCCAGAGATGGTCGCTCCCCAGACCAACGGAAGAGACTGATGGGTGCAGCTCTGTCATCTCCCAAGGCACAGTGAACTCACCTTTAGCAGCAGTTTAACAGCTACCAAGTTACCAACTGGCTACTGGCCACACATGTTCTTATAACTTCACAGTTGGAGCAGGAACTTCTCACCCAGCATGGAAGCAACAGGAGATGAAACAGCTTTTGCTGCCCAACGTTTGGTAAGTGAACTTGTGTCAAACTCGAAGAGTCTTTAAGCAAAGAGGGATAGAAATGGAGCTGCTGACTCATGGCCTCTGGCAACACATGCCAGGAATCCTCCAACTGTCTCTTTGCAGGGATGGCAGGCAGAAATCAAAGGCGGTTTAAGTCCCTAACCCGAGCGAAGATGCACTTGCACAGACTTCACCACAGGTTGTTTAACATGCACAGATTTCAGTTGCCAACTTGTGTTGAAACGCCCAGCTCTGCCTCATCAAATCTTTCTGCACTTGCACTAGCCAAATTAAATCCGGCATGGATTTACCTACTTATATTGCAGACACACCTTCTGCTGAGGTAGCACACCCAAAATGTAAATATATCTATCCAAACATACAAATATCCTCTGTGTGTTGTCTGGAGACATAGATACAAATAGACACAATGATAGGGGATTTTTTTTTTTTTAATGACAAACAAAGTTGAAGAGCATGGAAGGATACAGAAATCAAAACAAAAGCTGTAGAAAAAATAAAACTTCCTTTAAAAAAAAAACAGGAAAAGAGCGAAATAAACTTATGGATAAGGGATGAGCCTTTTCTATCCAACACAAGAATCCCCAAATCCCTAGGCAATCTGCTTTTAGTCGAGCATGAAGAATTTCCTTTTTTTTTTTATTGTGAAATTAAAGATTGGAATGGGGTGTGGTACGTATTGTGTAGATTGGTCTGCCTGATATTGTTCAAAAAGCCCTAGAGAAAGGCCATGGCCTTTCTGAAAAAGGAGGAAGATCAAAACAAGGAGAAAGCAAGAAGTATCTATGAACAGAGAACAGAAAGGTTGAAAAATGGTCAAAAAAAAAGGAGGACAAGAAGCACAGTAACTCAGGATAGGAAGAATTTAAGTGACAGGGCAGAATGATGACAAGTACAGAGATCAATTTGGAAAGACCAACCACTCATCACTGCTTTTGCAAGGACATCTGGAAAACTTAAAGCAGTTTAAGGACAGACAGTAGGGAGGCAAGTGAAGGCTGACAGTTACCACTGCTGGCTAAATTCTTTGCTGGGGACAAAGAGGCTTAGGAAGATGCTCTTACTTCTTCCCCAAATAATGAAGTTCACCACACAACAACAGCAAGGAGAGGAGAATGAACAGTAGGGCTAAGACAAGAAGCCAACAATATTGAGTGTCCAGGAGAGAGCTCAGGGGGACACGATTGCTGTGAGCATCGGAGACGCCCAAACCAGGGACAAAGGGAACATCACAGCTCCACACAGTAAACTTTGGGCGAGGATGGAAATAAGTATCTTCGCTTTCTCCTGCTATGTAGCTAGAGACCTGTTACCACCTCTGTTAATACACCCCAGATGTCTATGGGAGACACTAGGTTTTTTTTTGTTTGTTTGTTTTTTTAAAGTTAATGTATTTAGGAGCTTGTGATGCATATAAGAAGACAGACATAAACAAGCAATCTTTATGCAGCACTATAGGCCTGTCACTACTCTTTATTTAGCAGAACAAGCATTACATGCAGGAAGGAGACCCTTTCACCTCCTCAGTAACTCACTTCCAAGGTAGGTTGTAGCTGCTAAACCTCCCATCAAACTTGCAGAAAATCAACAGGAGCCAAGACCTGCTCAGTTAGCTGAGGATCCAAGAGGCAAGACCAGATGAAATAGAGTTGGAAGATAGAAAACATTTAGGCAGGCATTTGTAGAAGGAAAATGAGCAAGAAAGAACTGGAGACTTGATTTAGTGAGAAGCACGCAGGATAAAGGAAGTTTTATCTTGAATTTAAAAATCGATCTGTCTTCCTGTATAACAGACAGAATATGAAACTCATCTCACATTCACAGTGAGTCTATAACCCCACCAAATATGCTACAGGCATATAAATACATTTAGCCACAACGAAGTATGTCAGTGCTCAGAAAATAAATCAGAAAGTTAAAAAAAAATAAAAATAACCCCATCTTTTTACCCTTGTACACAAGACAGATTACTTTTGTAATAGCCATACCCAAGCCATTGTGAAACACAGAGAACCAGTTTAAAACAAAACAGCAAACAAAACCAAAGTAACAACAACAAAAAAAATCACTTGCTTGACTGATTTTTATGTAATATTGAAAACACTTTTTCTTACTGGGTATGACTTGTACTAATTTAAAAGCTTCTAGAAATAAAATTGAAATTAAATTAGCTTTTAATTATGCAGTACTATTACAAAGAAATTCAAGAAGTATTCCTCTGCTTGCATCTAAAAGCTTAAGACAAGCATGAATTTGTGAGGGAGGAAAGAACTTTTACCCCATAAATGATTTTATCAGCTTCTAATTTTATAAGAATCACTGGATTTTTAAGACAATTTGGTATGTTTATGCTTATGCCCAGACAACAAAGGTGGAATTTACAGAACACTACAGTGAATACTTACTTACCAACCATAGCCAGTCTCAGAAGGGCTAGGATATACTTGTTGTTAGCCAGCTTCCAAAAAGGACCAATTATCAAGAACGCTGGAGAAAGGAATGCAACAGCAGAAATCTCTACACCAGTGAGTGCCAGTGTCTGAAGGGGGAAGTAATAGATCATCGGTGGCAGTGCATGGTAAAGAGACCAAGAAATATAGCCTAAAAATATAAAGAAATATCATATATTTTCCGCAACATGGTTTCCCGGAGACTAAATCTATCTATATATATATATACACACACATATAATTTCTAAATGTAGAATATTAAATATATTTGAAAGTAATTTGGGCAACAATAGTAGTTTTTCCACAAAGAAATATTCACTATTTTGAGTTAAGTAAATACAGGAGCTAGAATGCTGAGAAGCAGCGAGCTCTTCTCCCGCTTATGAAGTTGATCTTTGGGAGAACCTGCTCAGTCCTGGAAAGGGACAGTGTTCAGAGGGGATAACGCTGGATAGCCAGCGACGCAGCCGAGACACATGGTGTCTTGGTGAGCTGTTCTAGTGCTGAGCGCTCCTGCCCCGCTCGGTCTACCCGTTCGGTCCACAGGGATGAACCCCACTGCTCTAAAGCCGCGTTACTCGCGCTACCATTTCCCATTCGCGCTGTGGGAGATGCCGGTGGCCCGTGGGCAGGAGGCCTGGTGACCACCTCGGCATCGCGCCACGGGGTGCGAGGCGGCAGGGCACATGGCAGACCAGTTCTACGAGCAAGAGCACAAACGTTTAAGCAAAAGCACACAATAAATCCAAGAGGTGTCAAGCAGCCAAAAAGCATTACGGCACAGAAATTAAAAAAAAAAAAAAAAAATAGATGTAGTGCAGTAAAACCCAAGGGGGACGCAAACCAGCGACCATAAGCAATTCCTGTCGCTGGTAGAGTTCATTCCGAAGAGCCACAAGCCA